GTCACGTGACACACAAAAATTGATGTCACGTGACACACAAAAATTGATGTTTAGGTGTGTTTTTTTTTAATAGTTACTTTTAAATAAGAAATTAAATAATGTATAATACTAAAATTTGAATTGTAATCTTCAGTTTGATACCAAACTTATTGACATAAAATAGTAGTTCAATAAAATTTTGAATGCAAGTCAACAAATGTGATGACATGACCTTTGACCTGTGTGGAAAGGGTTAAAGTGACTGGCAAACATTCTAATTCCCCAAACAAAGTGAAAACTCCTTATAACATTTGATTTGTATAATAACGTGTTCAAAAATCTTCTTTTAATATATATATATGTGATATATTCGTACTCTAATTGTTATTACTTAAGATTAAGTTTTTATCTCCTACTTATAATTTCAGAAAAATTGCTTTAATTCATGAATTTCATTCAACAGAAGAGTAGTTTCTGTTCTGTTAAGTCTTCATGAACAGTCATAATGCTGTTTTGTGGTATTAACATCACTCTTATATATTGTTTGTACAATTATTTTTTTTTTCCCTTGATCTTTTAAATGCTACGAAGATTGTTAGTATTTTAGAATTGTGTTTCCATGAGATAAAGGAATGTTTAAATATGGTTATTCACGACCTAGAACGTAAGGTATTTCTAGTTTTATAAGAAACCCTTTTTGTTTTGTTAGAACTAACACCCAGTGACTTGGATGATGTTGGAATCGTTGGAGGGTCCACCCGTATGCCTGCAATAAAGCGGCTGATACGAAAGGTTTTTGGCCGAGAACCTAGTACAACGCTGAACCAAGATGAAGCCGTAGCTCGTGGCTGTTGTTTACAGGTAATGTTGTTTTATCTATTTATGTATGGCAAGTGTACTATTTATGAACAATGAGCTAACTATGTGTTAATTATTGAACTTCAAGTATGTAATCTAAAATATTGATTTTCCTTTTACACATAGTGTGCTATGTTATCCCCAACATTTAAAGTGCGAGAGTTCTCCATCACCGATATTCAGCCGTACCCAATTAAGGTTACGTGGGATGCAAGTATTAAAGATGATGGGCAAGTTTCTCAAGTTTTACTTCATTCCTACATAAATAATTATGACTGTTTTCATAATGTTATTACAAGTCTCAAGTATTAAACAATACTTATTAAGTGAAGTTAAAGCTATTATTTTTCCATTTATCTTTAAAGAGTTCTTTTATTTTATTCCTGAAGTAATTGATTTGGTATTTTGATCCCATAGTGTGTTGGTATTTTGATTTTGCAAGGTGTATTGATATCTTGATTCTATAATGAGTGTTGCTGTCTTGATCCCGTAATGTGTATCGGTATCTTGATCCCGTAATGTATATCAGTATCTTGATCCCATAATGTGTGTTGGTATCCTGTATCGGTATCTTGATCCCATGACGTGTATCAGCAGCTTGATCCCATAATGTATAGGATACCAACACACATTATGGGATTAGGATAACAACACACATTATGGGATCAAGATACCAATATACATTATGGGATCAAGCTGCTGATACACGTTATGGGATCAAGCTGCTGATACACGTTATGGGATCAAGATACCGATACACATTATGGGATCAAGATACCAACACACATTATGGGATCAAGATACTGATACACATTACGGGATCAAGATACCGATACACATTACGGGACAAGATACCAACACACATTATGGGATCACACATTACGGGATCAAGATACCGATACACATTATGGGATCAAGATACCGACACACATTACGGGATCAAGATACCAACACACATTATGGGATCAAGATACCAACACACATTACGGGATCAAGATACCAACACACATTACGGGATCAAGATACCAACACACATTATGGGATCAAAATACCGACACACATTATGGGATGTTGGTATCTTGATCCCGTAATGTGTGTCGGTATCTTGATCCCGTAATGTGTGTCGGTATCCTGATCCCGTAATGTGTGTCGGTATCCTGATCCTGTAATGTGTGTCGGTAACCTGATCCTGTAATGTGTGTCGGTATCTTGATCTCGTAATGTGTATCGGTATCCTGATCCCGTAATGTGTATCGGTATCCTGATCCTGTAATGTGTGTCGGTATCTTGATCCCGTAATGTGCGTGTGTGTAAGTATTCTTCTTCTGTATTACAAGACATTTTTGTTTCCATAATGTGAAACTCATTTTGTTCTTACTCTTGCAATGCAGAATACTGTACTTTGTTGTCTTAATGTGTGTGTGTCATCATTATATTAGTAATGGTAATCATTTATGTGATAATAAAAGTTCTTCCAGGTTTTCTTTGTAGCAAACCAAGATTCTGTCACGAGGGGTTGGTTCAAGTTTCCATTTTAACTGATTAAAAACACACAACCTTTGGTTCTGGTTTTGATATTCTATCATTCTCTTTGGTATTTTTTACCTTGTAATTGAGGTGATAAGAATCTTAACTAAGTGTTTGTAGTAAATAATGGTTGTTTTTTAGGAGAGTGGCCAACTTTATCAAGTTAAAAGTTAAACATCACATTAAAAATATATGGTATACAAGTTGGCCTATTTGTTTTAATTTTATTATGTAATAAAGTGATACTTTACTTTTAGTTCAAATTTCCACTCAGTTAATAACCTTTACGGTTAATAAATGTAATAATTATTAGAAATTTATTGAATTTTCAAATCAATATCCAAATTCACTGATACATTTTTTCGTTTATGTAGTTCTGATATTGAGGCTTGGATGTTTAAAGTAAGCTTGCCCAGCATGATTATTCTCAAGTCACTGATTCACACAATAGTGGATTATAGTTAGTGTTATAGTAGAGGAAATAAAAAATCGTGATAGAGGTTATGCAAATTACATTCAAAAACTGTAAGATGAAAAAAGTATTCCTGATCTTAACACGAAAGTTACCTTGCACTCAGACATTGAGTGATACTAAAATAAACGTGGATCTTTAATAGAAAAATTTCTTATTCTTTGTGTATACAAAATACTTGTAATCTTTGATAAATTCTTACGAACGTTTGTGAAGGTACATCGAGAAAGCTCAGTTATATATATAGTTCCACATGGCCCATCTAAGTAGTGTTGTTAAAATTGAACAGACAAGCCTTTGAAATACCAGTGTTCTTGAATCTGTACTTTTTAACTATTATACTTTCACTTTTTGTTGGAACTATAATTATTAACGTATTTGTTAACACATCTTGGCTATAGCCAATAGAAGATTACTAATACTTGTCACAAGTTCTAAAGAAGTTCATGAAAAGTTATTTCTGTGAAAAGGGGCATCAAAATTATGATTACTTCATGTTCTCACTTTCTACAGAGAAATGGAAGTGTTTCCAAAGTTTCATCAAGTTCCTTTCTCCAAAATACTCACCTTTTGTAGAAGTAAACCATTCACTCTACAAAGTTCCTACTCCGATAAAGTTAATGTTTCATATCCTGACTCTCAAATCGGTAAGAATCTAATTGACATTACAGTGTTTGTAACATTTATCACTCTAAAGTAAGATTACTTGTGTTTGTATTGTATAGTGCTCATTTAGTGGCAGAAGGACTTACCTTTTTCACCTGTTGGTGTTCTCTCAAGTGTTGTGTTCATGTCACAGCAGTAGACAGATATCTCAACCCCAAGCCTCTACATGTTGTTGACAGGTGTTGTACTGATGTCACAACAGTAGGCAAATTTCTCAACTCCTAAGTTTCTCGTGTTGTTGATAGGTGTTGTACTGATGTCACAACAGTAAACAAATTTCTCAACCCCAAGCTTCTGGTGTTGTACTGATGTCACAACAGTAAACAAATTTCTTGACCTTAAAGCTTCTAGTGTTGTACTGATATCACATCAGCAGACAAATTTCTCAACCTTCAAGCTTCTCGTGTTGTTGTTGACAAGTGTTGTACTGATATCACATCAGCAGACAAATTTCTCAACCTTCAAGCTTCTCGTGTTGTTGTTGACAAGTGTTGTACTCATGTTGCAGCAGTAGACAAATTTCTCAACCTTCAAGCTTCTGGTGTTGTACTGATATCACATCAGTAGACAAATTTCTCAACCTTCAAGCTTCTCGTGTTGTTGTTGACAAGTGTTGTACTCGTGTTGCAGCAGTAGACAAATTTCTCAAGCTTCAAGCTTCTGGTGTTGTACTGATATCACATCAGTAGACAAATTTCTCAAGCTTCAAGCTTCTAGTGTTGCTAACAAGTGTTGTACTGATATCACATCAGCAGACAAATTTCTCAACCTTCAAGCTTCTCGTGTTGTTGTTGACAAGTGTTGTACTCATGTTGCAGCAGTAGACAAATTTCTCAACCTTCAAGCTTCTCGTGTTGTTGTTGACAAGTGTTGTACTCGTGTTGCAGCAGTAGACAAATTTCTCAACCTTCAAGCTTCTCGTGTTGTTGTTGACAAGTGTTGTACTCATGTTGCAGCAGCAGACAAATTTCTCAACCTTCAAACTTCTCGTGTTGTTGTTGACAAGTGTTGTACTCATGTTGCAGCAGTAGACAAATTTCTCAAGCTTCTCACTTTTGTTTGTCATTAAATATTTGTTTTTGTTATGGCCCAATTCCTTACTAAATTTATTATTAATTGAAACATCACCTACGAAATATGTGACACTGAATACAATGAAGGCTACAACAAAAACAAGCATCTAAACAGTGCTTGCAAGCAATGTCGAGTGAACCAATCTTAGAGGTTGCCACCGGTGTCAAATTTGTTACTTTATTTTACTAATATGATAGCTTGTCTTTGCTCATTTAAATTTTTGTTAACTTTTTACATGACTCTGATGGTTTTTGTTTTTATGTGAAGGTGACATCTAAACCCTATTAATTCAGAAATTATAACATTAATTATAAACTGGTATGTGCTTATACATAACATGTTTTTGTTTTAAATGTTAAACTTCCAAATAATTTGTGACAAAATTTAATTACAAATTTGTTTCTGAATCAGTTCAACTAAGTACTTAATTGTTTTGATATTATTTCAATATTAGTAGATCTAGAACTTTGCTCATATATCATTATAAAATATATGTAGTTGGTTTATGTAATGAGTGCATACAATTTTTAAAACATAAGAATTATGCATTTACATAAAGCATATTGTAACTTGATACCGTCTTCCTTCAATAGGTACATATACAATACAAAAGGTTGCTCCCTCCATTGATGGGGAATGTGCAAAGGTCAAAGTGGAGTTGAAGATAAACATCCATGGTGTTTTCTCAGTTTGCTCAGCGGGTATGGTAGAAAAACAAACGATGGATGAAGATGGACAAGATGAAAGTGAAAATCTAAATGATGAAATAAATGCTCCCCCAAACAGTGAAGATATGGGGTTCAAGAAACAGGCAACAAATGATGAGGCTGAAAAACTGGTTAAACATGAGAATCATCTGAGGTTTTATGTTGTAAGTTATTCATTTCTCTCTTCACATAGCTATTTAAATAACTTATTAATGGTTTCTGAAGCTACAATTACTGTTTCTCGTGTTTTTGTTTTTTCACAAAGTCCATAATACACAACTTAAGACTTGTCTGACTAGATTATCAAACTTTTGGTTGTGTAGTGCATTAAAAGCTTATCCGCTCTCCTAGATTGGAGTGTTTAAGACAGACATAACTAGTAACCTATTTTATAATTTGAACCTTTGGAAATGTAGTAATTAAACATACTCTCTGAGCTGGAGAGCAGAACGTTTTGTAGCAGTAATAGTATATTACTTTTCTTGAAGTTTAACTTGTTGGTCATTTCTGTATTTCACATGTTCTGGATCGTTTAAAAAACAACAATAAGAACAGAACAGTTTGCTGGTTCAGCTTAACACTAAAGTGAACAGAACAAAATAGTTCTAAGTTTTGTTACTGTTAGAGGAAGATAATCGAGAACGTGGAAACATCTGATTTAAGACAACTATTTAAAACATGGAAATACTATAGCTTTTATATAAGAAGAACCAATTGAAGCACAGAAATCCTATGTTTGACAACATTAACTCTGTCCATGAACCGTTTGAAACACAGAAATCCTATGTTTGACAACATTAACTCTGTCCATGAACCGTTTGAAACACAGAAATTCTATGTTTGACAACATTAACTCTGTATTTGTCCATGAACCATTTGAAACACAGAAATCCTATGTTTGACAACATTAACTCTGTCCATGAACTG